CTCGAATAGACGCGGGAGAGCATTCCAGGAGAAACGCCGGGGGAGGGTCTCGTTTGGGGGTGTCGGATTCCGCGGAAGCGAGTGAGTGCACAACGCACGTGATGGGCACCATGGTCTGGTCGGAAAATGTGGGAGATAGTGCTGGATTGGCCAGAACGGATGCCACAGGATTTGAAGCGATTGAACACGACGTCGGCTGGGAGACTAGGAACCGAAATAGCCAGGAGGCTTGGTGTGGCGACACGCTGGCATAGAGGGAGAAGGATGTGAGAGGGGTTGGTTAAGGGGAGGAATGATGCCACACAGGAAAGTGTAAGGGAATACCGCGTTGGTTTGGAAGCATGGAATGGGCGTCGCCAGGATTCTGGAGATAGCATGGCGGGCGAAGAGGCGCGAAAACGACCGGATTGACGAGGGCGCATGCCGTTGAGGTAAATGTGAGTGAATGTAAGTCGGTTCGGAAGGAATCGGATTAGTCATGTGTTTGACGGGAGGAGCGTCTGGACAGGGGCTGGTTGCGGGATACCCCGCACGTGTGGGTGAATGATTCCATTGTTGATTGGAGGGCAAGAAGTTGACTAAGCCATGCGTGTGGCGGGACGCGATACGGTTTGGTGGGAGACCCCATGGAAGAAGTTTGGTAACGGACGAGTGATGGCTTGCAGGAAAGTGCAAGTACACACCGCGCTTCACGGGAGACAAGGTGTCCGTGGAGCCAGTACCTACAGTATTGTGGGAGAATGGTCGGGGCAGGGGTTGTTCTGGCGACGAATGATGCCAAGCGTGTGAGTGAACAAGGCGTGGGTTGGGAGGTGAGGAAGCGATGTAGGCAAGGCCTCGGCCCGACCCGTCATGGCATATCGGTAGAAGGGTCGGGGCAGGTTAGTTCTGGAGGCGTGATGCCAAGCAGGAATATGTTTGTAGTGAATACGATGTTGGTTGGGGGGCAAGGAACCCGTGAAGCCAGACGTGAGTGTGGCGGGTCGCGAAAATGGCATGATGGGAAGGGTCGGGGTTCAGGGATTGCTGTGTCGAGGACGGATGCCCATGAGAGAGAGTGGCCATGGCCTGACGGCGAATGGAAGGGGGCGGTGTAGCCAGGAGCCCGGGTGGACCCGAGATTGCACGGCCGGAGAATGGCCGGGGGGTTGGTTCAGGGAAGAGCGATGCGACGAAGAATCGTGAACGTGAATTCGTGGCTGCTGGGAAGGCAAGGAATGTGGACTACGTAGCCAGGGCCTCAAACGGACGCGAGAAGGCCAAACGGGAGAAGGGGGTGGCAAGGAGTGATGCCACGAACGTGAGGATATGTTGACATGGCGTGGGTTGGGAGGCAAGCGATCGATGTAGTGGCTCGGATGGCCGCAAGATGGCATGGCGGGAGAAGGTACTAAATTGCGAAAGACGGATGGCACTCCAATGATTGAGTGTTTGTGAACAGCGCATAAGTTGGAATGTAAGGAGTCGGTGGAGTCAAGAGCTCTGATGGATCCGAGAGGTGGCATGGCTGGAGAGGGGTCGAAGAAGGGACTTCCCCGACCCCTCTCCAGCCATGCCATCTCGCACCCATCAGAGCTACTGGCTACACGTACTCCTGCCTC